CCAGCCCGGGCGTCGCGCTGGCTCACGCCGTAACCCTAGCAACTCTGCGGAGGCCAAGGACGGGACAGGATGCTGTCCGAAGGTCCACGGAGTTCGAGACAGCCTGGGAGCAATGAGTGAGACAACGGGCGCGCCCTGGCGGCCGGCCGGCCGGCGCCCGCCTGACGCCGCGCCGCTCGTGAAGTCGCCGCCGCCATCTTTCATCCGGGCGGCGGCCATCTTTGTAAAGGAGACGTTGCGGACTTCGGCTTCCACCTGCCCTTCCGGCTTCGTCAGTGTATAGAGTGAGCGCAGCGGGTGAGGGTTTACGAAGTACCTGCTCTTTGAAGCCACAAAGAAATGGCTGATGGACTCAGCGCGGGGTGAAGCCCGCCGGCACTTCCTTTACCAACATGGCGACGGCGCTGACACGCCCGGAGCGCGCGCCGCCAGGGGAGTCGGCGCGCAGGCCCCGCGGTGACGTCACGGAGGCGCGACCGGGCCGGCGCTGGGGGAAGGAGGTAGGAGCGGCTGCGGCGCGGGCGGAGCCGGTGTTGGGGGGCGGGCGGCCCGGCGGGGGGTGCCCGGCCGGGGCCCCTGCCGTGGGAGGTGGGGTGCTGGGAAACGGGGGCACTTCCGGCGTCGAGTCCCGGCGGCTCCCGGGGTGGGGGCCGTGCCCCGCTCCCGAGCAGACGGCCGAAGCCCGGAGAGGAGCAGCCTCTTGTCCGAGGCCGCCCGGCCCGGCCCTGCCCCGCGGCGGCTTCCGGCCCCGAGGGTGCCGAGTGGGGTGCGGGCGCCCCCGGCCGCTCGCGGGAGAGCCGGGGCTCGGGGAGCCCCGCAGGGACAGCCCGGAGGGCTTCGTGGAGGAGGCGGCGTTGCGCTTCGCCCTCTGTTCCCTCGCGTCCACACCCGCTCAGTCACGCGCGACTTGATGCCCTTCTCCGCGCAGCCCGAGCGCCCCGGGGACCCCGCCTGGGCTCCCAGCTCCTGCCGCCCCTGGAGCCCGTCTCACCCCCACACCCCTCGGGGGTTCTGGTTCCGTGTGACCCGCGGGCTGGGCGTCCCGGCCCGGCGCCCTGCAGCCTGCCCGCCGCCCCGGGATGCACCTGGCGCCTCGTCCTGGCCTGCCTCCTGCAGGCCTTGCTGTAGGTGTCTCCTCCAGGCACCTGTGTGACCCCGGCCGGGTCACAAGCACCCCCACACACACACCCCTGGGGCTTCCCCGGTGCCCCGCGTGTCCCCGGCACCGCTCTGGTGGCGTTTTGTGACCCTCGCTGCTTGTGTGGCTTCCTGCTAGCCTGGGGGTCCCGGGCAGGCGGCAAGCTCACGGGCCCCCCACCCCCTTCCCCGGCCTCCCACGGCCTCCCACTCGTGCTAGGTGAGATGCAAGCGTGTTGGTTAAGTGACGCCGCGTGTGCTCGAGCGTTTGCCACCCGGAGAAGAAAGCGTGTCCCTGACAGCTAGTCGGGGCTGCCGTGGCTACACACCGCAGACTGGGGGGTTCACAGCAGGCATTTCTTCTCTGAGGTCCCGGAGGGCCGCGCGTCCCGACCGCAAAACAATTGGAACGCCAATACGAGTCTGGTTGAGGCCCAGGTGCACGGTGGCTCACGCCCTGTCGATCCAGCCTTGGAGGCCCGGGGCGGGAGGATCCGCTTGAGTCAGGGAGTTGCGAAAACCGAGCCTGGCACACAGGCGAGACCCCGTCTCTACTATAAATAAAAGAAATTAATTAGGGCCAAACTAAATACATTAGAAAAAATGAGCCGGCAGTGGTGGCGCATGCCTGGTAGTCCCAGGCTACTCGGGAGCTGATGCAGGAGGATCGCTTGAGGCCCAGGAGTCTGAGGTTGCTGTGAGCGAGGCTGCAACGCCACGGGCACTCACTGTAGCCTGGGCGAAAGTGGAGAAAAAAAACAACCAAAAAAGCTGCTGGGTTGATTCCGGGGGTCTGGTGATGGGCTCTCTTCCCTGCCCCTTGGTGGACCGCCACCAAATTCTCACTCCCAACCTGATGGGGAAGACAAGACTATTTCTTAAATAATCAATGATAAATGAAACTAAAATATACACCCAGACAAGTGCTCAAAGAGAAAGCTTGTGTGCCTAGACCGTGCGCGTGTGTAGGGGGAGGAAGGTGGGTCAGGGAAGGCTCCTGGAGTGGTGGGCTCCTGAGCTGGGCCTGGACGGTCCAAGTAGGAGTTCAGCGAGGTAATAAGAGAGCAGGAGGTTCCAGGTTGCAGGAGGAGCGTGGCACGGAGCAAGGCCGCGGGCGTGGAAACCTGCTGCGCAGGTCTGAAGAAGCAGAGAGCAGGTGTGGCTGCCGCTGACTGAGGAAGGAGGGGAGGGCGGGGAGGGCAGCAGGGACGAGTTTCGTCGGGGACAGCCTCGGCCTCCTCGTCTGCTACCCGGGCGGACAGTGACCCTCGTTCCTGGGGACGAAAGGAAGCACCTGTCCCGTGTGCGGCCAGGGGGCGACGTGGTCGAGGACGTGGGGTCACACCGCGCCAGCCAGCGTTCCGGCCACTCTCCCTGCCCGCTGCGCCCTGGCCTTTCTTCCCGTGCCCGGCTCCCACCCCCGGCCCCTTGCCAGCCACGCGACAGCGGCCGGGAGCTCTGGAAGGCATCGGAGCGGGGTCAGCCCTGCCTGTGTCCCTGCCCCTGGGTCACCGCCCGCCCTGTGCCAGAACCCCCCTGCCCCCGCTCTCTGCGGCCCCTTCTCATCAGGTCTCGGCTCTGCTGCCACCTACGGGGAGCTGTGAGAATGCACTGAGGCGCTGTTTGCCACTCACTTGGCACAACTTTTTTATTTTTGAGACAGAGTCTCACTCTGTCGCCCAGGCTAGAGTGAGTGCCATGGCGTCAGCCTCGCTCACAGCAACCTCAGTCTCCTGGGCTCAAGCCATCCTCCTGCCTCAGCCTCCCGAGTAGCTGGGACTACAGGCATGCACCACCATGCCCGGCTAAGTTTTTCTATATATGTTAGTTGGCCAATTAATTTCTTTCTATTTATGGTAGAGACGGGGTCTCGCTCTTGCTCAGGCTGGTCTCAAACTCCTGACCTCGAGCGATCCTTCCGCCTCAGCCTCCCAGAGTGCTGGGATGACAGGCGTGAGCTGCCGCGCCCGGCCAACTTTGCACAACTTTTTGCAAGCCAGAGCCGATAGGGTTTCCGGCCGCTGGGCCCAGAGATGGGACCCTCACCGCCCCCCCCCCAACAAGTCAGACCGCTGGAAGAGCAGGGCGGGGCGGGGGCTTGCCTGGTGGTAAGGAAGGCCCCCACACACCTTCCCCTGCATTCTTGGGTTCCAGACCTGTGTCTCCGAGGTTCAGCAAGGGTCTGAGCCCCGAGACGTTTGGCAGTGGGCGGGGTGGCAGAGAATGATCCGGAAGAGAGGAGCATCAGCCCATTTCCCAGATGAGGAAAACTGAGGCCCCAGAACGCTGTAGGCAGGTGCCCTGGGCCGTGGGGCGCCGGCGTCCAGGGCTGGCACTGTGGGTGGCGTGCTCTCCACATCTCGCACCTGAAAAGCGGGTTTGGAGGCGAGACGCCTGGCCGTGCGACCCTGCCGGACACCTCGTCTCCCCTGCCTCAGCGTGGGAATAACGGCCGACCCCATGGCTGAGGCTTCGAGGGCCGTCAGTTGGGCCGGTTCTTGCCGGGCACTTTGCCCAGGCCCAGACGCGGACGGGCGGCAGGACGGGAGGGCGGCCCCTGCCACTCGGTGCCACCTGCGCCCCGCAAAGCGGCTTCAGGACTGGGCAGCGCCTCCCTGCTGTGCGGCCCGGCCCGCGGGGCAGCCTGCGGCGGGGGCGGGCGGGGGGCGGCTGGCTCTCACTTCTGGGGGACTCGGGATGGGCGTCGGGGTGACAGGGCGGGAGGGGCCACTGACGGCCACGCGGCGCCCACAACAGTGACTCGTGAGAGGCGGAAGCGAGCCCGGCGTCCGTCCAGGGGCCGGGGGACAGGCACAGCGGGCCCGGGCGGGGGGTGGGCGTCACCCAGTGGGGGGAGGCTCGGGGCCCTGCCGCCACCCGGCGGGCCTGGGAAACCACGGCCCAGTGAGAGGAGCCCGACCAGAAGGCCACGTGGTGAGTGACCCCACCGGTAGGATGGCCGCGTCTGGCACAGTCACGCAGCAGAGACAGGAAGCGGATGGGGCTGCCAGGCGCGGGGGCCGGAGCCACTGCTGACGGGGACGGGTCCTCTCGGGCCTGAGCAACTCGGCCTGGAGCCGGACACCGGCCGGGCACCGCTCAAGGCTTCATCTTACATCATGCGAATTTCTGTTTTCCTTTTTTTTGAGACAGAGTCTCACTCTGTCGCCCGGGCTGGAGTGCCGTGGCGTCAGCCTCGCTCACAGCAACCTCAGACTCCTGGGCTCAAGCGATCCTCCTGCCTCGGCCTCCCGGGTAGCTGGGACCATAGGCATGTGCCACCACGCCCGGCTAGTTCTAGTTTTTCTTTTTTTTTTTTTTTTTAACACAGAGTCTCACTCTGTTGCCCAGGCTGGAGTGCCGTGGCGTCAGCCTCGCTCACAGCAACCTCCAACTCCTGGACTCAAGCGATCCTCCTGCCTCAGCCTCCCGAGTAGCTGGGACTACAGGCATGTGCCACCATGCTGGGCTCATTTTTTTGTATATATATGTTCAGTTGGCCAATTAATTTCTTTCTGTTTATAGTACAGACGGGGTCTCGCTCTTGCTCAGGCTGGTCTCGAACTCCTGACCTCGAGCGATCCTCCCTCCTCGGCCTCCCAGAGTGCTGGGATCACAGGCGTGAGCCGCCACACCCTGCCAAGGCCCTCGTTTAACACTGGGAAGGTCCCTGCGTCCCCGCCCCGGGGGGTCCTGGCTGCCCCACGGGCCCCTACTGCCCGGTCCCCGTCCTCCCCCCGCAGCCTGCTGAGGGATGCCCAAGAAGTTCCAGGGCGAGAACACCAAGTCGGCGGCGGCCCGGGCGCGGAGGGCGGAGGCCAAGGCGGCGGCTGATGCCAGGAAGCAGAAGGAGCTGGAGGATGCCTACTGGAAGGACGACGACAAACACGTCATGAGGAAGGAGCAGCGCAAGGTGGGTGCGCCCGGCCCGCACGCAAGGCCCAGGGCGCCTGGGAGCTCTGGCGTGCAGGGCCAGAGACACTGGAGGCTGGAGGCAGAGGCCGGGAAGCGGCTTGTGCAAAGGCCCTGGGGTGGCCAGGGTTGGGCTAGACGGGTCGTCCTTGCCCCGAAGCAGCTCTGCCCCCGGGGGACACCTGGCGACGTCCGGGGACAGGTGTGGCTGCTGCAACTTGGTGCAGGGGGTGGGGGGCGGCATCGCCGGCTGCCAGTGGCTCCACGGCCTGCAGGGCACCGGGCGGTCCCCAGGGCAGAGAGCCCGGGGACCCGCTGCTCAGGGGCCGCTCGGGCTGTCCGAGTCTCAGGCCAGGTGGGGCTCGGCGCAGTAGGTGGCGCCAGCGAGCCGCCCCAGCCGCAGCGCCCGCCGCCCTGGGCAGGTGAGATGCTCCGGGCAGGTGAGACCCTCCGTGCCAGCCGTCCGAGTGAGCGTCCCCGTCTCCGCGCAGGGCTGGAGCCTGCCTGGTGTGAGGGGCGTGGGACGTCACTGGTCCCCTCCCTGTGCCCCTGCGTCACCCCGCTGCTCTGAATCCACAGAGACCTTTAAATGTTTTTTTTTTGAGACAGGGTCTCGCTCTGTTGCCCGGGCTAGAGTGAGTGCCATGGCGTCAGCCTAGCTCACAGCAACCTCAAACTCCTGGGCTCAAGCAATCCTCCTTCCTCGGCCTCCGGAGTAGCTGGGACTGCAGGCATGCGCCACCACGCCCGGCTAATGTTTTCTATATATATTTTTTAGTTGGCCAATTAGTTCCTTTCTATCTTTAGTAGAGACGGGGTCTCGCTCTTGCTCAGGCTGGTCTCCATCTTCTGAGCTTGAGCGATCCTCCCGCCTCGGCCTCCCCGAGTGCTGGGATGACAGGCGTGAGCCACCGGCGCCCGGCCCAAAATGTACTGTTTTTATGGGGAAAAATAAATCCGCACTCGCTCTTGCTCCAAACCACTAAAGAAACACACCCGCCAACACGCCGCCAAAGGCTTTTCTCGCCCTAAGCGAGGCTGAGCAGCCCTCGCCCCTGGTAAGACGCGGTGGGGCCAGGGACTTTTCTCCTGACCTCAGGCTGGCCCCGAGCTGTCGGCGTGTCCTCTCCCCGCGTTCCGTATTAAGCAACTCTGCCGCGAGCACCTGACCGGTGGCTCTCTGAGGTTCCATCTCAATTATTCACATGGCTCACTTCTCGGTGGTTCCGGAACATTCCGCCAAGTGGACTCATCCTTTACCCAATTGCCAGATGCCGCCCATTGCTAACTGCCCCGTTTTAAGAAAACCTCCAGTGACTTTTTGCAAGACAGTTCAGAGGAACGCCAGGCAGAAATGCCCACGGCCCCTCGCCAAGCCCTGACGCTGAGGGCCACGCGCCCCATGTCCATCAGGGTCACGGGGCCTTCCGGAAGCCGTCCATTCCCCCGGCACGCTTTTGCCTGGCAGCTGCGGGGGCGCCGGGCGCTGGCCCGGCTGGGGCCTCGGGGCAACAGAACTCGGGTGCCCGCCCTCCCCGGGCTCCTTCTCTGGCACTGTCAAGACAGGGCCTCTGCCCTGGGACCGATAAGTTATCAGGGGGCTGGGAAATGGGGGTGTTCGCAGCTCCGGACAGAGCCCCTCGGGGCAGGGGCAGGTGGGAACGGGGAGCTCAGGAGGAGTTGGATTTCGGGGGGGGGAGGGGGAGGCCAGCGGGGGCGCCCCAGGCAGAGGGAACAGCCAGTGCAAAGGCCCTGAGGCAGGGCTGTGTTGCATGCAGATGGGTGCAGAGAGTGCACGGGCCTCGCACGGGGCTGGGAGCCTTCAGGGGACATTGCCTCTGACTCAGGGGGAAACTGAGGCCCAGAGGTGCCCCGCACAGCAGGGGGAGCCCCAAGGGGGCACTGAGACACCCTTGACTTTAACCGCCCCCTCTGCTTTCCTGTCCTGCAGGTGGGTGTGGGGGGTCAGAGGCCCAGGGGGTGTCCTCGGGGGCATGCCAGCCCCCCTTCTGGGACTTAGTTGCACCAAGCCTGTCTGGAGGTGGTAGTGTCCCTGGGGAGCTCCCCCGCGTGGGAGGCAGACGGCAGAGTTCGGGAGAGGCTCAAGGGGCGGGGCCCTCTGGGGGCGCTGGGCAGGAGGCAGGGGACTTGTGAGCCCGTGGCAGCCTTGCCCTGCCCCCTGGGGTAGGTGGAGGGCGGTGCCAAAAGGCAAGTCCCCCGTAGGCCACATGTCCCCTAAGCCAACCAACTGGTTCCTGCCCCAGGGCCTTTGCACCGCCTGCGAAGGCCTCTCCTGTCCCCCAGCAGTGCCCCTGGCCTGCCCCTCCTCTGGCCCAGGGGCACCCCTTCCTCAAGAGCCACCGGCTGCCCTGGGCAAGGGTCCTCCGTCGTCCCCGTGCTCATGTAGGAGGGGAGGCCCAGCGGCAGGACCTGGACCGCGTTCCCCCTGGCTGTGCCCCCTGCCCCCAGCACAGGGTCTAGCGCACAGCAGGGCCCCGGCCCGCGCAGGCTCAGGTGAAGCCAGACCCCAGGCCGGCGGGGGCGCGCGGGGTCCTGCGCCTGACTGCCCGTCCCGTCCCTGCAGGAGGAGAAGGAGAAGAGGCGCCTGGACCAGCTGGAGCGCAAGAAGGAGACGCAGCGCCTGCTGGAGGAGGAAGACTCCAAGCTCAAGGGAGGCAAGGCCCCCCGGGTGGCCGCTCCCAGCAAGGTCACCCGCGCCCAGATTGAGGACACGCTGCGCCGCGACCACCAGCACAGGGAGACCCCCGACCCAGGTGGGGCCGCCTCCCTCTCCGGAGTTGCGTTGCGCTTCTGGGCCCTGCAGGGACCGGCCGAGGCCCACAGCGCCGCCTGGCCCCGGAGAAGCCGCCTGGCCGTGCGGGGACAGGCTAGGCGGGCGGGCGCGGGGAGGGCGCGGGGCGCGCGGGCCGGCCGGTGGGTCCCGGAGGGCTTCCCAGTAAGTGAGTTTCCGTTCCTCCCGCCGCCCCGCCGTCCCTCGTCCCTCTGGAACTCCGCGTCCCCGCTCATCTTCCCGCCTCCGTGCGTGTCCGCCGCCACCCGCCAGCCGAGAAGGCCAGGAGCCACCTGGAGGTGCCGCTGGAGGAGAACGTGAACCGCCGCGTGCTGGAGGAGGGCAGCGTGGAGGCGCGCACCGTCGAGGACGCCATCGCCGTGCTCAGGTCGCGGGGCGGGCCCTGGGGGCGGGGCTGAGTCCCCAGGGGGCGGGTCCGGGTGTTCTGGGGCGGGGCTGAGTCCCCAGGGGGCGGGTCCGGGTGTTCTGGGGCGGGGCCGAGTCCTCAGGGGCGGGGCTGAGTGCTCAGGAGTGGGGCTGGGTCCTCTGGGGGCGGGGCTGAGTCCTCAGGGGGCGGGGCCTAGCCCTCAGGGGTGGAGCTGTGTCCTCAGGGGCGGGGCCAGGTCCTCTGGGGCGGGGCCCTCAGGGGTGGAGCTGAGTCCTCAGGGGCGGGGCCGAGTCCTCAGGGGCAGGGCCAGGCCCTCTGGGGCGGGGCCGAGCCCTCAGGGGTGGAGCTGAGTCCTCAGGGGCGGGGCCAGGTCCTCTGGGGCGGGACCGAGCCCTCAGGGGCGGGGCCAGGTCCTCTGGGGCGGGGCTGAGTCCTCAGGGGCGGGGCCAGGTCCTCTGGGATGGGGCTGAGTCCTCAGGGGGCGGGGCCTAGCCCTCAGGGGTGGAGCTGAGTCCTCAGGGGCGGGGCCAGGTCCTCTGGGGCGGGACCGAGCCCTCAGGGGCGGAGCTGAGTCCTCAGGGGCGGGGCCAGGTCCTCTGGGATGGGGCTGAGTCCTCAGGGGGCGGGGCCTAGCCCTCAGGGGTGGAGCTGAGTCCTCAGGGGGCGGGACCGGGCCCTCAGGGGTGGAGCTGAGTCCTCAGGGGCGGGGCCGGGCCCTCGGGGGCGGGGCTGAGTCCCGCACTGAGCGCTGACCCGGCCGTCCACCCCCAGCGTGGCGGAGGAGGCTGCAGACCGGCACCCGGAGCGGCGCATGCGGGCGGCCTTCACCGCCTTCGAGGAGGCCCAGCTGCCGCGGCTCAAGCAGGAGAACCCCAACATGCGGCTGTCGCAGCTTAAGCAGCTGCTCAAGAAAGAGTGGCTGCGCTCTCCCGACAACCCCATGAACCAGCGGACCGTGCCCTTCAATGCCCCCAAGTGAGCCCGGGACTGGGGGAGCCATCCACGGGCAGTCCGGTCGCTACTCCGCTCGCCCCCGCGCCGGGTCCGCTCCGAGGAGCACGGAGAGGTCCGGGGGCCCAGGCTCTTGCCCCCGCTTGTCCTCAGGGCTACGCGCCGTCACCAGCCACCCCTCCTCGCGCGGGGGGTCCCCGCTCTGAGTGACACCCCTATTCCACCACCCCCACCCCAGCGCGTGCGTGTAGAGCCCCGGGGCTGAGCACCCAATAAAGGCGGTCGGCAAGGCTGCGGTGAGGCCCAGCGTGCGCGCGAAGCCTGGGTGTGCGGGTGGGGACAGGCGGGCCAGAGGGAGGGCACCGTTGCGCCACTCACGTCTTTGGGCACCTGCTGGGAACCACACTAAGACCACAGCTGCGACCGACAAGGGCCCCCACCGGTGCTCCTGCCAGCGCCCTGTTCTTGGTCGTGCCACTTGTCCAGTGAGAGACCTGCACAGCCGTCCCGTGCGGCCTCTGGGGGGCCGCTCAGAGGTGGAGGTGCTCACGGCTGCGCTTAAGAGGCAGAGCCGGAGAAGGGCTGGAGGCAGGTCGTTGGCGGCCTGCAGCTCCAGTTCCGAGTTGGCCCCGCCACTCACCATGGGCCACACGCTGCGATCGGAGTCAGGACGTGCCACCTGCTCTGCTGTTCCTCCTTCAGGGAAGGCCGGCGGTGGAGGCTGAGTCATCGCGTCTCAGAGGACGGGGCGGGCAAGGGTCTGGAGGCCGGAGCCAGCAGGCGGGTCAGAGCGGGAGCGAGTGTCCAGCGGAGACCGCATATCTGGGAGGGGCGGAGCGGGGTCTGAACCTGGGTCCCAGAGCTTAGCCGGCCCTGAGGAGCAAAGGGGCGGCGCCGGGCAGGGCAGTGGTCAGAGCCTGTGCGGGCGGGCGCAGCGCAGCGCGGGCGCAGGGAGCGGCCCTCGAGGTGGGGCCGGCGCTTCGTGCCAGGCTTGGGCAGCCCCTCGGGGAGTGAGGACGACGACGAGGGGAGGCGGCAGAGTCGCAGCGTTTCCCGGGTCACTGTCCGCTGGGAGAAGCAGGCTCGTTCCTGCACAGGGCCTTCGCCCCGGCGGTCCCCCTGCGCTGCTCTCCCGAATCTCAGACGTGCGTCTGTCCGTCCCCACGACGTCCCAGCTACGTCTGCGCTGGGTCGGGGCTGGGGAGGGTGTGGGGCGGGGCTGGCCAGGCCCCGCGCAGGGGTGAGGGGTGCAAAGCCCTCGTGGAGGAGGGGGGTGCATAGGCGTTCTTGGCGCAGGAGAGGGAGAAGGCAGCGCGCTGACGTCACGACCCCCCCCGTTCAAGGAGGGGGAGGGGCACAATGAGTGGGTGCAGTGTCACACGGCGGTGCCTGTCGCGTGGTCATTAATGTGAAACGGGCCGACGTGAACTGAGCGCTGGCCTAGTTCCGCGGGACCCGAATGGCCACCGCGAGACAGTGGCCAGAGGACACATGGGGTGTCGAGAGACCCCAGGAAGCCTCGGTGAGGGCTAGGGGAGCCCTAGGGAGACCCTGACCCCCTCTGCAGATAGAAAACCAAGTCACCTGCCTGTGCCCAGCAGTCAGGAAAGCAGCGCGGGTGGCGCTGGGGCTAGAAAACGGGTGGAGGACTCCAAATAGCTTCCCGCAAACGGGGGCCTGAGTTCGAATCCCGCCTCTGCCTCTTCGGAGAGCTTGGGCAACTGCCTTCATGGTCTCAGCCTCAGTTTCCCCTCTATTAAGAAGGACTGGCCCGGCGCGGTGGCTCATGCCTGTAATCCCAGCACTCTGGGAGGCCGAGGCGGGTGGATCGTTTGAGGTCAGGAGTTCAAAACCAGCCTGAGCAAGAGCGAGACCCCGTCTCTACTATAAATAGAAAGAAATTAATTGGCCAACTAACATATATAGAAAAAATTAGCTGGGCATGGTGGCGCATGCCTGTAGTCCCAACTACTCAGGAGGCTGAGGCAGGAGGATCGCTTTAGCCCAGGAGTCTGAGGTTGCTGTGAGCGAGGCTGACGCCACGGCACTCACTATAGCCCGGGCAACAGAGTGAGACTCTGTCTCAAAAAAAACAAACAAAAAAAGGACTGAAATCAGTGCCCAGCGTTAGGCTAACCTGGGGAACCCATGAGATGGCGCCTGGGAGGGTATGTCCCGAAGAAGGGTTTGGGAAAGGAGCCCCCCCACCCCTGTGATCCTATTGGGGTCTTGGTGTCCGGGGACGAGGGAAGGTTGGGGACCAACGCTGAGTAGCTCAGGGAAGAAGCGGACGGAGGGCCAGGCTGAGGGGCGAGCTGCCTGGCAGGGCGCCGGGGAGCCACGGCGGGCGTGTGAGCAGCAGAGGGGCCGTGCCGCAGCTGCGCGCCGCGAAGCTCAACCGGGGACGTGCAGAGGGTCGGGCGGGGACCGGAGTGAAGACAGCACTCAGGGCCGGAGGTGAGAGGCCAGCCTCCAGCCCTCGGACACAAAGGCGAGGTGGCAGCCTTTGTTCCCTTTCACGGAGAGGCCCCTTCCCGCCCCCGCGGAATCCCGGGCCCGCGCGTGCGCGCTGGCGGCAGGGAATCCCGGGCTCCGCCGCAGTGCGCGGGAGGGGGCGCGAGAGGGGAGTTCCGAGCACTCCCAGCCCGCCCCGCGCGCGTTGCCAGGACGACCGGGCGGGGCCGCGGGGCCGCCGGGTGCGCACTGCGCCTGCGCAGGGGTGCTCGCTTCACGCGCCAGGGCTTTCCCGTCGCGCGCCAGGCCGGGAGGGGAAGCCGCGCCCGGTGCGCATGCGTCGACCCCTCCCCGGCCCCACCCCCTACTCCCACCCCGAGGGCTGGGGAATCCTCGCCCGCCGCAGTGCGCACTGGGGGCGGGGCGGGGAAACCGGCTCAAACCGGAGCGGGGTTCGCCGAGGAGGTGGCGGAGGAGGGAGCGAGAGCGGGGTCTTCCCGAGGTTCCCACTCCGGCCCCCGCCGTTGCCTTGGAAACCGGGCGCGCGGGCAGCAGTGCGAGGGCGGCGGCGGCCTCGGGGAAGCCGGGTGGCTCTGCGCCTGCGCGCCTGCAGCTGGGGTTCCCTCTCGTGCGCCCCGGGCGCGCAGGGCGCCGGGCGGCGGGGTCTGGGGAGAGCGGGGAGGCGGGCGGCGCGGGGGGAGGCGACGCTGGAAGGACGCGGGAGGAGAGGGTGGTGGGGAGAGGAGCCGGAGGGTGCTGGAGGACGGGGCTGCAGGGAAAACACCAAGGGTAGGGGTGACGGAAGGGTGCCAGGGGAGGGCGACCCTGGGCGTGGGCGCCACGGGAGGGGTGCTGAGGGAGAGCGCGGGGAGGGGGAGGGGACGGGGAACTTGGGGACTGGTGCCAGGGTATGGACTAGGTGCGGGGACCCTGGGGGTGGGGGTGAAGGGAGGGGCACCTGGGGGAGACTTTGGGCACCTTCAGCCTCCTGCCCAGCAGCTTGGCCTGCGGGGGTGGAGGTCGCCGTGCCAGAAAGTTAAGGAGCCTTGGGTCCGCGTTTAAGGTTTCCAAATTTAGAAAAGAAAATTAAAAAGAGAAAAAAGAGAGACCCTGCTTAAACTTGACTTTCAAACAGACGAGTAATCTTTTATTGTAATTATGTCCCACTCCGTGTCCTATACTTTAGCTGGCAGCCCTAATCTCGGCCACTCTCCTTCCCCCCCCCAATTTACACGCCACCTGTGCCTTGGCCCTTTCCAAAAGGCTGTCCCGAAAAGGGAAGTCGTTTTCCTCCCGGCATGTTATTCTGCGGACCCTCGCCGAAGACGCCTTTGTGCGCCGCCTCCCTGCGCCCCCAGCCCTGCGCGCGGCGCGTCCCCTCCCCCGGCCGTCTCCCTTCCTCCCGCCCGAACGCCCGCCGGAGGCCGAGTCCCCGCTGCGCACGGCGCGCACCCAGGACACCCGCTCGCACCCTCGGGGGGTCTGCTGATGTCCCCCGCACCCCCTAAAGCCCCCCAACTCTCCGCTGCGGGCCTGGCCCCGCCGGCGCCAGACCTCCGCGCCGCCGCCTCCCGGCACCTCGGGGCTCCCCGCCCTCGGGCGGCAGCCCTCCCTCTCTGGGCGCGCGGGCGCGTGGTGGGCGCTCGCGGGAAAGGCCGGAGGGCGAGGTCGTGCGGGCGGGTGTGGAGGAAGGGGCCTTTCGTTTCCGACACGGACGGCTGCGTCCTCGGCCCCCGGGAGCCCGTCCCCTCCCTGCGCCCTGGCGCCCTCTAACACACCAATTTTCTTCTTCCCTTCGGCTTCGAAAAGTGTAAGATAATAAAACGTGATGAAAAGCTAATAAAAGGGGAAAGGTCAGTCCCTGAGCTGCCCCAGCGCCTCCCCTCCCCCCACTTCTCCTCTTTCCTCCCCCTACTTGTCGTGGGAACACTAGTGCCTCCGGCCTGGCCCGGGAACTCGGTCCCTGGGCATCGTTTTCCCCGGTGGCGTGTCATTCCGAAAACAGCCTAAGCGGCCCCTGGTGGGAAGGGCGAGGGCGCCCGTGGTTTGCGTTTCGCTGTCCCAGGCGACGCCCTGCGAAGCCAGGCCCGCGCCAGTTCGGTGCCGCGTCTCAGAGGCCCTTTCCAGGGGGCTCGCTGGGCAGGGTGGCGCCGTCCTCCCAACACCCAGGCCCGAGTGGCACCTGGCCCCTTATTCCCTGGGGGAAGCGAAAGGCGGGAAAAGCGACAAGGTCACACCAGGGGCGGAGCGCGGGGAGGACAATGAAGTCAGGCGACCGTGCCCCGAGAAGGGGCGACTCCAGGCATCCAGCTCTGAAAGACGACAGAGCGGAGGGAGAGGGGGTGAGGGGGTGCCAGGGGAGGGCAACGCCGGCCGAAGGAACAGCAGATGCGAGGGCTCAGAGGCGGCTCCGGTTCCTAGAGCCGCTGGGCATGTCCAGAGAGCGGGGATGGGGGGATGGGGGTGGGTGGGGTCGCTGTCCAGAGGGGAAGGGGACTGGGACAAAGGGTGGGGGTTGAGGGGACAGACCTCGAGAACCTGCGCGGAGTCAGGGTCCCCCTCTTGGCTCTAGGAGAGACGGGGGTTAGGGGGCGGTTATGCGGGACGGCTACGTGACCTGGCACACGAGTGAGGACGGAAGTCTGTGGATCCGTCACGGAGAAGGGACTCTGGAGGGACAGCCGGGACAGCGCGACCTGCGGGACTGGGGAGGGCTTGGGGGGCTCCGCAGGGCGATCGTGGGGTCCAAAGGGCGGGGGTCCCCGATGATGGGCGCCCTTGTGACCTTCCGGTCTCTCTCCCTCTCCGTGTCCAAAGCCGGGTCGCGGTCTCCCCGCACAGGGCAGGGA